GCATAATGCATAGTGCATAAGAGAATCAACCAATCAAAATTCTTCTTTTCCATGGAATGAGAGGAAAGGAAAGCTTCTGATTAGTTGATTCGTTTATGCGCTATGCGTTATGCGTTATGCAAAAGTGTGCTGCGGCCTTTAGAAAAGTGGACGTATCACCTTCAGAACTATGTAGTTTACATCCACTTTGTCTGGCGGCAGTAGTGCGCGGCAGCATTTTTTGGTTACAGGTTTTGAGACGGCATGTCCTCTCTCAGATTTCTCTCTGTTCTGACCAATCAAAGCAAAGTTCACTAAGGTACTCGACATCTTCGTTTTCTCTCTTTTTAAGACAAAATATGTATCTATGGCCGGTATTCATAGTTGAGTCTTATTTCAAGACCGTCTTAAGTAATGTCTTTAGACTCTAAAGCCTTGTGTCCACGATGCTAGAATCGGTCCGAGAACTCGGATGAAGAAAGAATTGACCAATCGCAATGGTCATGTGATCAAATTGTTCAAATGTGATTTGTTAATTTTTTCTCTGTCCGACATGGTACAGAATCGCATTTAGCGACATTCGTCGACCGACGTTATTAACGACACCGACAGTTGTCGGTAAGCGTGTACAGAATAGCCCCCCAGAAAACAGAATTCCGATGATACGAAGCAAAATCCATCGGAATCCAGCCATCGACATCTAGAATGGACTGTTGATGACAATCAGCGAGGTGGGGGTAGAAAGACGATTAGAGTGAGAGGCAGGAATAATAAGATCGTTCTTTCTCTGTTTGCTGTTGTTTCTAACAGCCTGATTGGTTGTTGGATTAACAACAACCAATCAGGCTTCAGTAAACAGAGAAAGAAAGATCTTATTATTCCTGCCTCTCACTCTAATCGTCTTTCTACCCCCACCATTGCCATCAGCGGTCCATTCTAGATGTCGATGGAATAGACCTATATAGGCTACGTTCCAAAACTTCCTCTCCGAGGAAGATTTTACTTTATATGCTGTAGTATATACGTTACGTGTACTATATATTTCGAGTAAAATTTTCCTCGGGAGGAAGTTTTGGAACATAGTCCATGATTGGTTAAATTTCATTCCAATCTCTAGTTTGGTACAGACTTTATACAGGCTATGTGAACGCGCCCTTAAGCTCGTTCTACAATTGTGTACGTGGTTACGATTGTATGAATTAACCAATCACAGTCGAATATTCTCCTCATATTCGGCAGTGATTGGTGAATTTTTATAATTACAATCACTTATAACTACACTTATGCAATTGTAAAACAGATTTTAGATACACACAGATAAAGAATGACTTTCTGACCTTTCTGACTCTTTTATGTACATGGACCACGCCAAGTCAAATATCTTCGAACATTTTTAACAACGCGAATAATTGTCCTTATCCGCGCCTATTAATAAAATCCCGAGACGCTTTATTTGTATCTTTGACACAGATCAGCTAAAAGACTGATTACTCGCGGATATTATGAGGACAATATATCTTTTAGCCATTATCTCCGTTCTCGGTAAGTGTTATAGCCCTTCTACAATAAGCCGCAAATCAGAAGTTCGAAACGATCTTAAGTCATAATCGATGAAGTTGGCCAATAGCCAACTTGAACGACTTGGTTAAGACTGGTTAAAACTTCTGACGTTCTGACTTGCGGCTTATTGTAAAAGGCCCATTAAGTTTAGTTCCAGATAAACTTCTCAAAACTTTGGAGCTTGCTCCGCTCCTTATTGCGTTATCAGTATATTACTGTTCTTTGTTTAAAATTGAGCGTATCTCTCCACCTAATTATCGTTCCTGATATTTGACGATAAAATTATTTACAGTAACACTCCATGAAGTCGAAAGCGGATCATATAGGTTCCAAGCGGATTATCTGAATTCCAAGCAGAATACCAAGCATTACAAGACGAATCAGAAATTGACAGAATTAGCAGCGTCCAAGAATCAATCGCAACCGCTTCCAGGTCGGAAAATGATGCTATTATCAGCCTGGGGTATCATCGGATTAATTGTAGGCGCTATCATATTCAGTACAATAACTTACTACATCTTTCTATTGTATCCATATATATGCAAAAAGAATGAAAGCTATGACATCATAGAATTAACAGATGTTAATTCTGTGTCCACTGTTAGTGACAATGTTAATGTTAACAATGTATCACGTCCATTGAGAGCATTTTGCGACTCAAATGATGTATCAAATGACATATCAAATGATGCACCATTGAAACGATAGGTCTGAAAAGAAAACGTAACTTAGATCGGTATTCATAGTTGATTCTTATACTTAAGACTATCTTAAGTATAGTCTTAAGATGTCATGGATTAATCAGAAGGCCATATTAAAGCCTCAAGATATTATTTAAGACAGTCTTGAAATAAGAATGGATTATGAATACCGGCCATAGACATTTATTTTACAAGTACAGTTACATCTTCACTCAGAGTAATAGTACTTTCGTATAAGTTTAAAGCAATTAAGCCTTATATAACTTGACACTGCCATAAAATCTTTTAGAATAGAAAAATATTAAGATTGAGATCTTCATGTATTTTCATACTATCTTATATATGTAATAATGGAATGAATTTTTATAAATTTTATAAGCATTTACAGCAATAGATATGGAAATAATTTTATTTTTATTGCATTTATATATACCAGTTATATGAAAAAAGACTGAACTTATAAATTAAAAGTTATCTTGTGACATGTTAAAAATGGAGAGATGTCTAAAAATTTCTAACAAAAAATTTAGAAATTTTTTTCAATATAATCATTAGTTTACATAAGTAGATTAAATAGTATACAACATATGGCATTTGCTTGTGATTGAGACTCTGAAAGACTGCAAGAAAGTATATTCGTTTTTTTATTAGACGATATTAATGTAACATAGTGTACCTATTCAGTAATGAGATTGATTTTTTCCCTTATATTAGCAACTCTGCAGCCTATTACTAGTGATCATGTTTGATCTTGATCTTTTTCCAACTGTAACTGACATGTCCAGTATCAACTTGAAGTGTTAAGAGATAAATTATGTTCTTAATCAAATTTGAATCGCACAGTGATATGTCATCTTTCTTATGTAAAACCCAGTTAATTGTACAATAATGCTACGGAAACGTACGAAAAGTTTAGTAACTTTTTCTTTGCCATCCTTTTTCCGTATGAAATTCAACAGTGCTACAACATATGGAAAGCTTCAGTATTAATTTTCAGATTTTCTTTGATGTAGCATTCACAGAATTTCATTCACATAACAAAAGACAGCATATCATTATGCGATTTCATTTGCGTTACAAGCAACTTGAACGTCTTAGGCTGCGGTCCACTTAGCGCTTCATACGCTACAGAGCATTTGTAGCACTGATATGACTGGTCCATTTGATGCTTCGGAACGCTCCCAGCAACTCTGATTACGTCATCAATACGTCATCGTTTTTGCTCCCACTTCGCTTCAACTGCCTCACCTCGGGAGATGGGTTGGCTGGAGCGTTCACGTAGCAATTGTAGCATTCGAAATAGTAATGGACCAATCGGAGCGTAGCATTTGGAGCATAACGTTTAGAGCATTTGGAAGAAGCAAGTGGACCGCAGCCTTAAAAATGTTTTTAAACTCCAGGTTGAAACAATGCAGAGCTATGCTAATTGAAGGCTACGGTCCACTTAGCGCTTCAAACGCTACAGAGCATTTGTAGCACTGACATGACTGGTTCATTTGATGCTTCGGAACGTTCCCAGCAACTCTGATTACGTCATCAATACGTCATTGTTTTTGTTCCCACTTCGCTCCAACTGCGTCACCTCGAAAGGTGGATTGGCTGGAGCGCTCACGTAGCAATTGTAGCACTCGAAATAGTAATGGACCAATCGAAGCGTAGCGTTTGGAGCGTAACGTTCAGAGCATTTGGAAGAAGCAAGTGGACCACTGCTGAAATTAGAGTAGGCAAAGGATTAGGGTCAAACATGATCAATGGTAATAGGCTGCAGAATTGCTAACATAAGAAAAAAATCAGTCTCTACTTAACACTATGTTTATATTAACAGATCACAACAATAGACTGATTTTTATAATCTCCAAGTTTGATCCCGTTATAGAGAAAAAACAATTAATAGCTTTGCTGAAAAGTTTTTTCTTGTGCTATCAGTATGTATAAGCTTACAAATTGTACTCATAAAAATGACCTCTGTAGAAATAATATACTTGTAAATGTATGATATATATTTATTACAAATAGGACTTTTTTTTTACATAAACTATGTGTATCTTAAACAACCCACTTTTACAAAAGTAAGCAGGCTAATAAATGCATCATGATACACGGAGCGAGTACTTCAAACTGTTCTACCTTTTTCCTATCAAAACACATGGAGAACGATGCAAACAATATGAATTACATGCACACGTTTTATGATGAGGATCTAAACTAGTTTGCTTCTCCTAAATGCAACTCAAAAAACTGTATAAAATTGGCTTTCGGATGGAAGAATTACTTAAACGCGTGTTTTTTTTTTTATAAAACTAGACAACTGCACCTGAGAACTGGTCTTCCTTAGGATACACAGAGCGACAAATGATGATATCATATATATATACTGATGTTATTATACAAAAATCATTGATTAATGGAATTATTCAATTACCATTAATTTCATTACGAAATTAATCGATGTAGATTCTTATTAAGTATATATATATATATGTATAGATGTTAAGTCTGACAATACAAAATAAATTTTTGGGCGAGTATGACTTGTATACCGATTCGCGATTAACGCCCTTAATTAGTTTTTTTTTTTATTAGAAACGATATACGTCGTGTGCGGTAAATCCTTCTAAGAAGAATTCAGCTGGTTGGCTTTCAATAAGTTATAGCTCGTCTTTATCATCTAGATTAACATCGCTGAGATCGATCTCCTCTTCTTGTGGAGGTTCAGCGTCTTTACCATCCCAAGGCGTCGTTTCAATGATGACAGGCAATTGAGCACCTTTCAAGGGCGCAGTGCCACCTCTGCCGTAACTTAGATCTCGTAAGAACTCGTTTATTCCATCGTATGAGAAACTACCTTTTAACAAGGAATATTTCATTTTCTTGATGTTAACGGCTGCTAACGCGGGGTAGCCGAAACCTCCAATCTCTAACGCATCCTCGATGTGCGGTTGAGCACCAGCTTCAGCCCAGACCCATCTGTACGAAAAGTAAAATAATTAAAATAAATTAATAATATTTGTGACTCTAAGAATAAATCTAGTATAAGTAAAATGTCCATGTGAGCTTCCATGGTTATTAGTACGAAAATTATATAATGTAAGGCGATAAGATATAATTCGCAAACCAGTTGTACCTCTTCAATTACAGAATTTTGAAGGACTCAAATCTAGGATAGCAATGTTTGTAATTATCTTTATTTGGTGAGTACTAATTGTTTGTGAATTATATCTTATCGCTTTATGTGAATATATAATTTACAAACTAATAACCGTGGAAACTTACATAGACACTTATACTAAAAGTAGAACATTTTGTGAAAATAGTTGACATATTGGACGAATTCATACGAAAAAATTTGATTATAACTTTTTAGAAAAATTAAATTATAAAAGATCTTTTTATCAATATTCTATTGTTTGATCGACGTGCTTTTTTATTTAGTTATAATTTACTGTAAAATAAATCTTACAATAAAAATCGAAAAATAAAAAAACACCGATTGGTTTCAGAATCATGTCTAAAGCATGAAAAAAAAAGGAATAGTTATGAATCGTTTTAAAAATAACATATACGCAAATTTAATGCGTACCCCCACATCTTCTTTTTGTATTTTTCACCGAGAGTACTTAAAGTTTTCAAGTATCCATTTCTACAATCGGACTGACAGTCCAGAATGTGTGGCAGAACGGAAACCACACAGATCGGCTTGTCTTCGCATGCTGCTCTCAGCTTCTTCTCAGAAGTGATTTGCACCACTTCCGGCGCCGGAATATTCTCGGCTAATTTCTCGAGCGCCCAGTTAACGATATCACCGCTTGTTCGACCGCCGTCATAGTCTTGCATCGAGTCGGCATCCTTCTTGCCTGGTGCGAAGAATTTAATGGTGGGATAGCCTTTGATCTCGTATTTACTTGCCTGCAATATTACGTGTTAGACCAAAAGTGTACCACATCAATCGCATTACAAGAAAATATTAGTAAGGCATGTATCTCACTTTCAACGTGTTTACAGTGGCATCCAGAGCTCCCAGTTTGACTTTGCCTTTTAGCTCGGTAGCTGCTGTCGCCCACTCAGGCGCTAGATTCTTGCAATGACCGCACCAAGGAGCGTAGAATTCGACTAGCCACATATCTTCAGAATTTAAAACAGTCTTGTCGAAGTTCTCGTCCGTCAATTCTATCACATCCTTGGAATCTTTACTCTGCAAATAAATACTATTTACTGCAGGGTTGGGTAGTGCCAAGTTAAAAAGCTAAAAGTTAAGTTAAAAAGTTGAAAAGTTAAATAATTTTAACTTAACTTAGTACATTTTAGACTCTTAACTTTTTAACTTTATTTAGTTACATTTTATCGATAACTATTAACTTTTTATTTAAATTTGTTGAAGTTAAGTCTCAGACTCA